CCCCAAAACCCCAAAACCCCAAAACCCCTTATGCTATAAAATTGTTTGATTTGAAATCTTAAATGACAATCATTTTAGTATAGTAAGATGAATTTGATTTATAATATTTTCTATTAGGAGCCAATTCAAAATTCTTTCAACAGTAATTGGCAATCTCTTTCTCTAGGTCTTGTATCTATGCTTCGTATACCTGAATTTGTTGCTCATACTTGCTAATGTATTCCTAGAGTGTGCCATTGTCATTCCTCAGACTTTCAGCTTCCAGCTGATATTGTCTGACTTGCTCCTCAAGTTCGTTGATTCTTGAATAGTCTATTGATGATGAGTTGCCTAAGTTGGTTTGAGATCTGCTGTGCTTTGATAGTAAATCAATGTGAGCTTATAGACCTATTATATATATAAATACATGAGCATTAACTTACTTTCTCCCCTTAGCAGAAGTCTTTGAATCTCTGCCTTGTCATGTTCTCTCTAGACATTCAAGTCGTGAATCTAGAAATCCTTTTGCTGCAACAGTTTTCTTTCATTAACAAGAACCTACTCTAACTAGGTTAGCTTTTCTCTTTCCAACTCAACTTGTCTCTTCAGAACATCTGTCTCCCTTTGAGTTTCCTTGACTTGTTGTCTCAGCTGGTGCTTTTCAGTTTCTAAATGGCTCATTGATCTGTGAAGATCTTCTCTTCCAGCCTCTAAACTGTATGACACGTTCCTTTGCTGATGAATGTCATTGATAAGTGCTTCTTTTTCATCTGTTGTTCTTCTCAGTTACTAGTGAGCATTTTCCAATTGGAATGTCAGCTTTTCAATGTGCCCTTCAAGGGTGTGAATCTCATCAATATACTGTCTTTCTCTTTACTCTTAATCTCTCATTCTGTGTTGATATCCATACAGCTCCTTCTCCAAGGTTTGAATCTTAGCATATGTTTCCTTTGAATCCATTGATACCATTTGCAAAGATTCTTGAAGTCTCTCATTTTCTAGGCATGCATTTCTGTAGGTAGTCAGTATATCACTCTTTTCCATTTCCAGTGCTCTCAATGCTTGTTGTGCGTGTCTCTCTCTTTCCACTAGTTCTTCACTCTGTTTTCTAAGATAGTCATTTGCCTGAGCAGATTTGCTAAACTCACCATTAACATATTTGTTTTCACGTGTTAGAGTCTAGATATCCTCAATCAACTCAGCTGCTTCTTAAGCCTTAAGCTAAGCAATTTAGGTTTGTTCCTCTAGTTACTAACGAACTCCTTACAGTTCAATTCTGAGTTGTTTAATCTCACTCTCCCTTTCTTAGAGTCTGCGAGAATACTAATCTTCTTTGCCTGTAGTGATTGTCATTTGATGCTGAATATTTGAGAACTCTCTGGTATACTTGTCTAACTAGACTCTAGCATTTGCCAAATCCTAAGTCTTTGAGTCAAGTTCAGCCTAAAGATCATCAATGTTCCCATCAAGAGACTCGACTGATTTTTACAGTTCAAGAATGGTCTGGTCTTTATCCATAAGCTGTCTTTTGTATTATTGGATATCTTAAAGCAATACAGACTTATCTTACTCTTCGCCTATTTTCTCCTAATTGGTCGCTTGAAGTCTTTATACTAGCTGTTCCCTAGTGCTGTCAAGATTCTCAACCATTGCCCTTAGTCTATCAATTTGCTATTGCAAAGCCTTGGATTTATTCTTTTCCTCATCATATTCCTTTCTGATTTGCAGCATATCAGTTTCAAGTCTACTCTTTTCATCCTTAAGCAATAGGTTGTTGCGTTTCAAGTCGAGAAGCTCAACTTCACCTTGGTTTTTCCTCTACTCTGTTCTGATCACTTCATTTTATGAGGAGTTAATGATGTCGTTGAGTCTTTATATCTCAGTTCTTTATTCTGAAAGCTCCTGCTCGAGAGTCTTTGTGTAGTAGGAGGCATTATCAGTTCTGGACTTAAGTCTATCAATCTCATTATCCTTAAGTTTGAGTTAAGCTCTTAGATCATCCATCTATCGAAGCAGGTCTCTTTCATTAGCTCTGAGACCCTCAATAGTCTTGGCAATGTTCTCATTTTCCTTCTCAACTTCAAAGCCTCTTCTGATCTTAGTCTGAATCTCAAATGACTCTCTCTCAAACACCTTAAGAGTCTCAATGAGTTTAGTGTTCTACACTATCAGGTTGTTGTACTTCTGGTTCAAGTCATTCAACTCATTTTTCTTGAGGTCCAAGTCGTTTTAGAGCTCTGTGACATAAGATTGCAACTTGTTCTTCTCGTATTCAGTTCTAACATTCTCCTCAATCGTCTTCTAAGTAGAAAGAGAAAAGTTCTCTAGCTAACTCCTTAATGGCCTGAGCTAGAGTAGTTCTCTTTCAAGGCTAAGTTTCTCTTTCTCGACTCGGGTAATTTCTGACTGTTTCATTGTTAGTTCTTGTGAAAGTAATTTTTATTCATTTTGGAGAATATTGAAGTTTTCATTAGTTCTTAGAAGTTATTAATAGTAATCAGCAGCCTTCTTTTCACACTCCAAGTTCTCTCCTTTCAGAGTCTTTACCATATGTTCCAACTCCTCTTTCTACCTCATAAGAAGTTCAATATCATTTTGCTTTCCATTTAGCTGAGTTTGCAGCCTGTTGATCATTGTGGATTAGTTTTAAGTGTCCCCTTATGCTTTCATCGACTGAAGTTTAGTCTCATGCATTTACTTCTCCATGGTTTCAATGAGAGTTTAAAGACGCTTCACATCGAAGTTGGCATCGGTTTTAGCTCGAATAGCTTGCTCTAAGTCTAATTCAAGCATTCTCACTCTATCTTTGAGATAGCTGTACTGTTCACTGTTTGTGTGATTATCTGAATTCATCTTTGACAGATAGTTCTGTGAAAGCTCAACGTCTCTGGCTAGATTAGCGCACTTGCCCTTAAACATGTTCAATTCCTCTTTCAGGTAGTTGATCTCCTAGACTAAACCATTATTCTCCTGAGTTATGTTGGCAAATTTAACTTCCTTTTCTTTCACATCTTTGGATAATGCTTCCATGTTTTCAGTGTATGCTTTTTGGTTACTCATATAGGCACTTTGGTACTGTTAAACTTTCTCATTCTCTAATTTAAGTCTAGACATCTCTTGTTCAAGATCGGCTAATTGCTCCTCTCTTTATTCTAAGTTTGCCTTCAAACTGTCTATCTCCTCTTGACTCATGATCTTAGCAGAATCTCCTAGATTGAATGCTCCACTCTTATGCTGATCAATCACTTTCTCCATGGTCTTCATTTCCTTTTGCATTGTGTCATTTCTATTCTTTAGCTCTCTAATAAGCTTCTTCAAATGTGCTCTATCCTTGTTAGTGGGATCTGTGTTCTCACAGATACCAAGCAACTCTTAAATCTCTCTAGTTTCAGAGACTAACCTGAAGTTCTCAGAGTTTAAGAATTCATTTTGCTTCTGCAGTTTAACTATGGTTTCCTCAGCAGTAATCTTATCATAGTTGAACTTCACTGAGTCAAAGGTCTAGCCACCCTTGTAGAGAAGAGTTAATCTTTGAATCTCCTGCTCTCTGTTTATAACTGAGTTCTAAAGTTCTCTGATTTTCTTATCAGAGTCTGCTAAAGCAACCTGCAAGTTTTCAAAGTCCTTCTTGTACATCAGAGCTCTCTAGTCAGCATTTCTCAACTCATCAGCCCAGACTTGCTATTGTGATTGAAAATCTACCAAATTTTAGCTTGATCTGTTAGGGTCAAGATTTTGAGAGTCAACGCCTCTTGATAGGGTGAAATCTTATTTTCTCCCAACGACATTATCTTGTTGGTTGATCTCCTTTCTAAGCCCTTTAACCACATCATTTGCTGCTGGGTTGTAAGTTTTAGTCAATGCTGTTTCAAGCTTATTTCTCATTGCTATGATAGTCTTATCAAGCTCTTGAATCTTGAAATCTTTTTGATTGGCTAGGAATTGCAAGTCAGTCTTTTCATTTTGAATCTATCTTAATTAAGACTTCATAGTATTTTCTCTTTGCTCGCATTCCTCCTTTACCTTTATCATTTGCATGTGCAAGTCATTATTTTCTCTAACAATTCTCTCATTTTCTTTTTTCAATGGTTCGACCTAATAAATTCATTCAAATTATTTGTTTATTGCTGATCTTACATATAGAGCGTCGCTTTAAGTCTGAGTTTTGAGTTCTTCATTAATTTTCTTAAGTTTTTAGAATCCCTCTGTGGTTTTAAGCAGATCATTCAATAATTTGTCAGCTAATGCAGCACTCTCAATTGCTAATGATGATTAATAATCGCAGTGATAAATTACTAAGTGGCTGACAGTAGTGAAGTGCATCGAGTCTTTTCTTGAGCTATTGGAAGCGCCTTTCAGCTTGAACGTCCATAATTCAAATTTATATTAGTGCGATTTTAAATTTAAAGTATAATTATTCTTATTTCGCAATTAAATTTTATCAATCATAATATAGTAAACAGACAACATTTTAAAATCATCTATATCTAGCCTTATTTATTTCTTATGATAACTATGTTTCCTTCTCTCATTATATTAATATCTTATGAGGATAAGTCTATTCATTTTACGATGAAGGGTGCATGCTAGATCTGTGACTGGCTTCCTCTATTTTATTTATAATCAGTTGCGATTTGCTATCTAGGTTTGACCATTTTCCAAGTTAAGAGACCAACTCCTCACAATAATCCTCTAAATCTTTAATCCTCTAAACTAGTTCTTATTTTTCATATGAGTCTAATTTCTTGTTCTGGTTATTCAAATCTATCAAGCTGATTTCATTTTGAAGTCTGCGATTATCTTCCTCTAGTTTGCGTATTCTCTAAGATTATTCAGTTACCTTCTTTTCCAAATTCATAACACTACAGTTTTTATTATTTGAAATATAAACTTACCTATCTTTATATATCTCGTTTTCATTTTCAAGCAACTTAGCACTCTTTTGTTCAAACATTCCTATAAATTCAATATTAATACACCAAATAACTTACTCTATGACTTAAACTGTAAATCTTCGCATCTGTGCTTGAGTTCATTGACTTCTATTCTCAGCTGTTTATTTTACTAACTTAGTTTAACAACCTGCTACTCAAGTTAAACATCATTCGATGTGAAGCTTTTATCCTAGCTGATATTTATAGCATTTCCTAGATTATTAGTACTATTATTCTTTGAGACACTTCTGGATTTTGAAATATTAAGCTTTTGACAATAGATTTCCTCCTTCATATCTTCTATTTGCTCTTTAAGCAATTGGACTTCATTGTATTTGGCTTCTAATCTTTACTCTATTGCGACCTTATCTCTTCCATTTTGCTTAAGATCATTGATAATCAAAGTTAAAGTCTTGATTTATGACTCATAATCAATGACATCTCTCTCCAGATTGATTTTATCTTTCTTCAGAGTATTAATTTAGTCATCCAAATTAGCTTTTAATCTGGTATTCTCACTCTAAAGTTTAAGCAGATCCCTGTTCATCTACTAATTACTTCTATTCTATTCATTCTATAGCTTGTTAAATTCTTTTTAGTTATCATCTTTCACATTTTAGAGTTCAAACTCTAAATCCTAGATCTTTCCTTTTCTATCTGTTGATATTCTCTCTATCTTCTAGATCTGAATTTTAAGGTCATTGATTAGACTTTCTTATTCTTTTAATATGTCATCTTTTTTTGAAGTAACATCCTTAACTTTAATGAGTTCATCATTTAAGTGGTTCAAGTCACTCTTGATGAGTTCTTTTTCTTTTAGTCTTTAAGCTAAGAGAACCACTTCTTTTTCTTTATTCTTCAGTTCATTCTGAATTCGGGATATAATCTCATCATTTCTTTCTATAAGCGACTCATATTCTTGCTTAGTCTACTTTATCTAATGAAAATGCTCGTTCATTTGTTGATTTTTAACTTTCTCATTTTCTTTCTTGTAGTAATCAGATTGACTATTAGCAGACTCTAGCTTTTATTAAAGTTCAAATATCTCCTTCTCGCATTTCTCTCGATCATATTGGTATTCAATCTACTATCTTCTTATCTAAGAGTTTAAATCGTCTCTAATTAGATTTATCTCTTGCCTTAGTTGTGACTTGACATCCTGATTTTTCGTGTGTTCTTTTTCGAGACCAATTCTAGCATCTTTGGCTTCAACTATCAAGTCCATTATTTCTTTATCTCTTTTCCTTAAGATTTACTTGTACTTCTTTGCTCTCTCGCGGTATTTGTTCTTTTTATTCAATGTTTACTAATACAGTTGCTCAATTTTATCCATACTTTTTACATCGTTTTCAAATCTGTTACTCATAGCACCACTTCCACTACCCCCTTTTGTAATGAAATCAAATACTTCTGTTCCTTCCGTTCTTGGAGTCTAATTCATACTCATTATTTCATAATTTAACTTATTCTTCTGCAATTTGGTTTCTAGTTCGCTAATATAATTTATTTTTTCATTAATGATATTCTCAAGAGTGGCTATGCGGATTTCTTGGGAGTCTGTTACTGTTGGCTGAAAGCTCTTTAGATGATCTCTTCTACTAGGATTACTTAATCCAGATTTTGTTCTACTTTTATTCTTCTTCTCATTTTGCATGGATATCTAGTTATAGCCATTGAGCTGTTGCTACTACTTCCAACCTGAATTCAAATGATGATTTTCTTTCTAATAATGATGTCGGTTTGAATTGAGATTAGATTAAGTCTCTTGAGAAATGGGTTGAGTAGTATTATGATACAAAGATTCATTTTTATTGGTGAAGTTTAGTTCCTAAGTATTTTAGTTCTTTGTTGATAATGGCTATCCCATTGTGAATTCCCTACAAACTGGTTCTATTTATTTCACCTAAACCACTTATTGAGCTAAATAGGGATTATTGTTATTCTGTGATTTTTGTTTATAAATAAAGTTTTGACTTTAATTGCGAGTTTGGGTATTCAGTTCAGATTCAAAATCATAGTCATCATCCGAGGACTCATCAAAGTATCCCATTTGATTCATTAGACCAAGATCAGTGTTTTTGTTAAATTAGGGGTGCTGATTGTATTACTTAACGTCTCTATTCATTTTATTTTATGCAGAAAATATTTAACTTTATGACATATTTAAATTTAAATTCCTCAATCCTAACTCCCATCAGAATGCAGGGGTTTTGGGGTTTTGGGGTTTTGGGG